TTTCCCTCATCAGAGGGGGGTTGAACCTGCATCGCTCTGGCTTCCCAACAAAGTGCTCTAACTAGCATGTCACAGGTTTGGCATTATTCAGGCACTATGGTAGGAAGCCAGAAGGTGAGGGGGTCTAGAATCTAGGTCTCCTGGTTCTTGGGGGACTGCCCTAAGCACTAGGGTCTTGGGCTAAAGCAATGGAAGATCCTTTTCTTCCTTCTCTTACTCCTGCAGCATCTAACAGCTGCCATTCATGGGGTTTTGCCAAGTACAGTTTTGTGACACCTGGGGCAGGTGTGTTATGCTCAGTTGCTGTGTGGATGCTTATTCTACATAGTGCATGTAGAATAGGAGCACAGACTGTGCAGAAATACCAAAAGTGGCAGTTACATGACTAACTGCCTTTGGGGCACATCAAGTGAATCGGGATTCTTCTCTTAATGGCCTTTTCCTCCTGAAAGTAGTTTCTAACAAGTTTGAGAGAAACATTTAAATGTGAAAATTTGCTTGTAAAAACTGCAGAAAATTTGGGGGTCTTAAGAGCTGATGGTGTTTCTATTTTTGACTTTTATAAAACTTGACTAGTGTTTGAAATTGCCAGTCTTTTTAAAGCTGCTTATAGCATGCTACAGGCCTACAGGCAAGTGTCTGCACAGTATTTTTAAGTGTTATGGTAGCTGGAAATACCCACAGTACTTTGGATGCATTGTTTTGAAGTAGAAAGATGGCAACTTTATACTAAATTCATGTCTAAATATCATTTTGAAGTCAGTATTTTTTCAAATGTATTGATTTTTAGAAGAAAACCAAACTTTTCAATTTTTTAAATGTACCTGCAGGAATATATACTCTGCAGATGTTAAACCCAGGCTTGCAGCAGCAAAGTGAGATGGAAGAATGTTGTTTTACCTACCATGTAGGTTCCTGTAGAGGGACACATTATATACTACTTTTCTAAATTAGCTGCTGTGTCCTTGAAGGTGTCCCTTTTTACAGTTTATATAAATAGAGCTGGACTAATTTACCTGTTTAAAAATGTCCTGCAGGTATTTTTAAAACTTATTTAAACATTTTTTAAATAGTTGCAGCATGGGATCCACCTAAATACCACCGGCTGCAAAGGAAATGAATGACATAAGTCATCTTAAATTTATCTTTGTCTTAATTTTAGGCTTACAATGTCAGATTGCTAGTTCAACAAGAATCCAGTATGGATTGGATAACACAGCATTAACAAGGAAATCCACCTGAAGCCAATTTACATGAAGTTAGTTAAGTGGCTAGTTTACAAGTATGATTTATTGTTTTCTGTACTGAAAGGTACTCACTGTGCCAACCAGTGCCTTTTAATTGAACCCCCCCCCCCCCCCAAAAAAAAAAAAAAAACAAAAACAAAACCCCAAACCCTTATTTACCTGATTTCCTGTAGGTTGGCTGCAGGATCCAGCTGGGAATTCTGATGTTACACTCAATGAAGGCATGTGTCCTTCATTGTTCAGATAATCTCAGAACAGGTGCCAGTGACTCATGATTTGAGGAGCCTCAAAATGAAAAAGAAATAGTAAATTTATGAGTGTTGATTTTTACAGACTAGTTGACCACTTAAGACCTCATTCTGGAAGGCACACTATAGCATTTCATATTGTATATTAAATATTCCTTTGAGCCTCTATACTATGAGGCCCATGAGAGCTTTTTCTGCGAATACAGGGGTGCTCAATCCCTGACCCGTGTACCAGATCTGGCCCATGGAATGATATCATTTGGCCCCGGGGTTTCCCAAAGGTCCAGAAACTGGGCAGTAGTGGAGCGATGGCAGCATTTGTTGCCCCCAGATGCCAGATTTCCAGGCACTTGGGGTCCAGTAGTATGCTTCTGAATTTGAGCACACGGGGCGCATCCACACATGATCTGAATGTTTGATTCCCTAGGGACAACTAGCAGCAGTACGCTTTGTGGTGCTATTAGTTGTCCCTGGAGAATATCCATGCCATGTGCCCTCTGGCACGTGGCAGGTTATCCAGGGGTAGTAGGGAAGGCTGGGGCCAGCACTGGGTCCTGGGGGCTTCCTGGGGCTGTAGCAGCTGCAATTCTGCCTCACGGAGTTTGGCTGGAAGCTGCAGCACAGCTCCAGGTGGCCCAGCTCCACTTTTGAGCGGTACATGCTGCCTGCGAGTGTGCTGCTCTGCTTTTCCTGTCTGTGGGTGTTTTTGATACCTGGATATCCAGGGGTCAAAAAACCCCTCTGTGCTGCTCCCATGCAGTGCAGAGGACAATTGTGAACATGCATTATGTGGCACAGCAAACATGTCTGCGGCATCACATACCGCACAGCTGTGCTCATCTGGATGCAGCCACAGGGTCCAGCCAGTGCTCTGAATCATACCTGTAGACCAACCCTATATGCTGACCCCACATGGGATCCAGCCTACAGACCAATCCCACATCTCTTATCCGGCCTGTGGTGCTGGAAGCTTGGGTGCCACTGTGTTAGATGGCTTTCAGTGAGAAGTAGTTTCACTTGAGATTTGATTGCTACAGATTTAGTGGTGCAGACTTTTTGACTTCAGGCTGTTAATGAATTTACTTGTGATATGGGAATTTTTCTATTTGTCATCTTTGGAAAATCTATGTCTACTCATTGCATCAAAAGTCTTTTGCAATGTCTAATATTTTTATCTCCTGAGCCATCCTTATATTATGTGAATTTGATACGCTACCTGTTAACGGGCTCTACCAAATGATGCATCTTTTCTAATATTAACATTTTTATATTTATAGACAATACCTTCTGCAGGGAATCACCTCTTCCATTATACTGGCTGATTTCTCTTATACTGTGTTTTGTGTGGCATTATAAAAGACAGCTGAGTCTATTTATTATGCACATTTTATGTCTTCATAATGTAATAAATATTTATGAAGCTGGATTGTTGTTGTTTGATATATTCAGCACATAATAACATTTTATTTTTAAAATATTTGCTTTGAGATATTTTCCTTCCCTGAGAGGTTGCACAAGATTTTGATTATTGCATTAAAAGCGGAGAATTTTGAACAAGAAAGTTTGTTTATATATTATATAGCTAATGATGCTTCAGTTAAATAGTAGGTTATGTGAAATGTATCTGTTTTTAAGTTAGTGTTTTATGTAATAAATTAACTGATATAGCATATGAATTTTCTGTGATGAGAAATCTTTGTTCCAGAGTGACATCTTCTGGCAGGCCTGAACATATTACCCTGAAATTATTTAATCGAGACTGATAGATTCTTCATTAAAATATATATATATAAAAAAAAAAAAGTTAAATGATCTCAAATAGACTATCTCCTCACTGGTAGCAACAATGTATTTGCCACAATGATATATGTTTATTTAAAAGAGCCCCTTCCTCCCTGCTCTTCCCACCCCACAACTTTATTTTTGGAGAACCATAAGCACTAACACAGCAGGATAGATGGTTTGTAGTGGTTTATAAAACACTTCATAGTTAGATTTCTGCTGTCAAATAATCTCAAATTAGTAGTGGTAGGTTTATTGCTACCAACAAACATGTAGGTATCATTTACAAAATGAACTGGTAGTTTTTCTACTTCTGCATAAACTGTTGGCACTAACCTGATACTTTTGTGGTTGTAGTCTGTACATAGTCCGAGCCCTGATCAGACATAGACACTGGATTCCATTGTATCCCTAAATGTTAATTATTTTAGGTCAAGTATGTAGCAGTTTGGTGAAGCTTTCCTATGGCATTATATCCTGAGAACTCTGAAGTCCTTAACCTAACTCCTTTCATAAAAGCTTCAATTAACTTGCTGTGTGTAGTGTATACCACAAAACAAAATTCTCCCTTCTCTTGCTGCTAAGGTACAACCTGAGATAAGTAAGTGATAGGATCTTAAGGTTCCCTCAAGCTGCTAATCCCACCTGTGTTGTATGAAAGTTGATTGGCAAATGAGCTACAGCTCTTAATTTTTCTCAGTATGGGTTATTCTATGGGTGTTGCATTATAAAACTTCCTTTATAATTGGGAAGAATTCCAGTATTTGTTTTATATTATTACGTGGTTGTTCAGGATCCTTTAACTCCTCATTTTAAGGAAGCAATATAACTTGGAATATCAAATATATATTGCTGATGTCTGAAAAATATTTACTGTGGAAATTGGAAGGAAAAAATAATACTTAAATAAGATTTTATACATACACAAATTTGAAATATGGGGTTAAAATGATTAAATTGTTGTCTGTGAGTACACATGAATTGTGCAGTCCTGAAATCCTATGCTGTAAACTTGACAGAGCTCATTTAGTTTTTTGTGCTCTTGTATTTAGGTCTGATTCTTGGTATGTGTGCCTTACCTTAATACAGGGGTGGGCTGAATGGCCACTTGAGGAGTTTTGGTGAGCTGTTGTGGACTGGATCAGCACATCCCCTGCCCATCCCCGCAGTCCACAACAGCTTCTTAAGTGGTAGATTACTAGACATGGGAGTGGATTTGCCCCAGCCCTATGCTGTCACTGTCCAGAGTGATCCCGGTCCCAGCCCCAGGGTCTCCATGGAGACCAGTGCAGGACCCACACGGCCAGGGCATGCTCAGATGGGCAGATGGGAAAGGGCGTTGGGCAGATGGGAAATGGTATCTGGGAGCAGGATAGGTGGCCAGGGCTGGGGCCAGAATTGCAGGGCAATGACAGCGCAGGGTCTGGCTCAGGTCAGAGCCACAATCTGCTCCCCACACTATCCTACCCACAGAACTGGCACCCGTTGAAGAGAAGAACCAGCAGCAGAGCATGGTTCTGCCCCGGGCCTAAGCTGTTATTGCCATGTGATCCCAGCCCTGGCCTCACCCACCTGTCCCACTCCCGGTAGCTGGTCCGGACCCATCCACGGCCCCTTCCCATCCACCTGACTGACTGTACCCTGTCCACGTGGGTTCTGGGCTGGTCTCCAGGAGACCCCACCTGCCTGCTCTGTCCAGTGCCCCTGGCAGTTGGTACAGGGTGGATGGACCGGGCTATCTAGGTAGTGGGACTGGAGCTGGGGCTGGTGGCAGCAGTGACACTGGCAGCAGAGCCGGAAGGGGCACCACTGCTGGGGCTGCCAGGAACTGGAGTCTGGCCACTGAGCTTCCCCAGCCCTGCTACGTGCCTGGGGCAGTGGGACCAGCTGCACACGCCATGACCCAGCCTGCCCCCTGGGCCAGGTGGGGATGAGGGACCCTCCAGAAGTCAGATAAATCCCCTTGATGGGCCAGATCTGGCCTGCAGACTGTATTTTTCCTACCCCTGCCCTAATGGGTGGCATCTAGAGGGCCCACTTAGGATTTGGGCCCTTTTACTGAGTGCTGTATTAATATTGAAGAGCCAAATCCCTTTCTCTGAAGGGCTGCAATCTAGGAGGAGAAGTTGTGATTATATAGAATAATTGGAAGATACAGCAAAGTTTAGATAAGAGAACAGTGGTTAAAAAGAAGGTAGGTCATCTACTTATAAATTAGGTGGCTGAGTGATTTAAAGTTTTCTTAGAGTTTTATGTAAACCAGTAAGTATAACAGATATCTAATGCCAACAGCCTAAGTGGTTGCCTGGACAAATAATGGAAAATCTATTGTAATGCCACATTAAAATTGTATGTTCAAACATAGCAGTGAGAAGGTAGAAAAGTAAACGTTTGCATAACCTTGTTAATGTAAGCATTATGGTTATATAATACTAGTGATTACTGGTTAGGCTAACTTGTTTATTGTAATATATGATACATGTAATGTGAAAGATGGCATGTTGTACAAATCTTATCTTGATATTATACTGCATGTTGAGCTGTACAAAACTAATAATGTATTATGCTGTTTTTAAAATGTAATTGATTACAGTTTCTTCCACTGTGAATGTGGAAGAAACCCATTGCTCCATTTTTTATTTTATAGCACATATTTCATTTTTGTATTCTCACAAAACTTAGGACCCCTCTTAAAATATTTTTTTAATTTTTTGCTTTATTTTCATTTAATCTTTGACAAGAAACAATCTGAGTGTTTAGAAATCAGTGGCATGGTACTTGCATTGTATTTCAGGAAAAGTGGTAAAAAGGTGGTAATCTAAATGCAAAAGAATCTGTTAGTTGTACTTGGACAGACAAAAACTATTTTATTTCTTTTAAAATGTGGGACAAAAAAGTTTGAATCGTACACTGCTTTCCTAATTTTGTCCTGCTGCATTCTTCGGAACTCAATAATATGAAATGGCCTTTCATTTATGAAGATAATTCTCTTATGTCTCTGTGTACATATTTGCCACATTTGTACATACTTCCCCATTTAATCTGGACCCTAATAAGGTTGATCTCAATCCTGCCCACAGAGGTGGAACAGAAAAATGACACACTCAAGTGATAATCTTGATCAGGAAATTTACTGTTTTTAAAATCATCTCTGTTTTTAATTTACGTGTTGGTGATGTGATATAACCATGTTGTTGAGTTTTAAAAAAAAATTGTGTGTAAAACAATTTTGGAATTTTTCAGGTACGCAGATTT